CCCCCCCCCCCCGCGCTAGCGAAGCCAGGCGAATCAAGGCAGAGAGGCGGCCATGAAGACATGCTCAGCAAGGGGGATGTAAATGGCCGACGGCAAGATGACCAACAATAGGGCGTCCATGTGGGCAGACGGCGATGCACGTGGCGAAGGCCACACAACAAGTTTCGCGTCTTCGTCGGGGAGGACACGAACCCCATTTCTACCTGTCCCGTATAGCCTTCGCTATCTCCAAGAGTGCATGGCGCATGAGCTTGCTCACATCGTCCGACGCCGCGTCGTGATTTTTCTGTACCTCAAGCTCCGCTTCCATGGTTTCGCACTGCCGAATTTGGATGGAGCACTGCCTCTTGCTAGCGCTCTCCATCGTCGTTGCCATTAGCGTCCCATGCTTCTCCATGCACTCTGTCAGAGCTTCGAAAGTCTGCTGCCTCATGTTCTTCCTCTTGCCAAAACCGCCAGGGCTACCCGTCGTTGGTGAAGAACCTTTCGTGGAGTTGTCCTCTTCTTCATTGCCGTCGCCACCCCCTTCCCCATCGTCAACAGATTCAGGCCCGCCAGAACACGCGGACGGCAGCTGCACACCACCCGAATCGCCTGTGTCTGCGACATTCTTTGGGTGTATGGTGTGACTCTTCGCGGTGGGTGCCTTGATCTCCTCATACACGGCCCGATCCATGGTCAAACTGAAGCCATTCACTGACCTCTCCTTCCCCATTAATTGAAAGAAGTCTTGTTTCCCAGAGTCCCCTTGGAACAGGTGCACCTTCTTGAACTGCTGCATCAAGTTGTCTTGTTTCTTCCCACACTTATCTGTTGTCCTGTCAACACCCTTCTTCAACCTCTCGTGAACATCTGCCGACTTCCCTTCCCTCGGCTTCATGCGAGCGTACGGGTGGCCCATCCCCTGCAAATGCACATTTTGGTCCTGCTTTGCCTTGATGAGGGCCACCATGTGTTCAACTATCCAAAAGTTTCGCCCACCCTCAGCCTCCACGTCGCCTTCGCCCTCGCTCCTCGTAGCTGCCGCTTTCTTTCCCCGTCTCGCAGTCGAGGCAGAAGCCTTGTTGTTCCTGCCCCAACCACCCATGGATTTCTTCCACAACGGCCAAACGTCACCCGTGTCGTCGTCCTGCCGTTCCTCGTCCTCGGCGACGTCCTCGTAATCGTCGGCGTCCACTACCGACGACTCCTTCTGTGCTCAGCTCCCGCACGTGCAGTCGCTGCACCCCCCTCGTTATCGACTCCTCGTGTTTTCGACGCACCTGGTACTGATGTTCCGCCCACACATGCCTCCCATCCCGTTGCCCATCACCGCCCGCGAAATCTTCGTTCGTCGTCCCACACTCAGGTGTGTGGCTTCCCTTGCTGGCACCTCCCGACAACGGCGATGGAGGTTGCATCCACTATGGACGACCGCCGGCAGCACATGCTGGTGATGCAGGCGCTGACTGCCCTCTCGTACGCTTCCTTGTCTTATCTGATGCGCCCCAGTCTCCAAAGGAAGCCTTTGCAGATCGGCCGACTAGCATCACTTGCCCTGCGTCGTCGTCAGGGTGTGGGTTGACGACGACAGTCCGTGTGGCAGCCGATGAGCTCCCGCTACACTGCCAAATGAAAGATCCACGCCGCCATCCGTGTTGCTTTCGTGCATGTCCTCTTCCAGGAGTTCGGTGAAGGACTGCCGAGACATCGTCTCACGACTCCCATACAACTGGCTCCCCGCCCACTCTTGGGTGGACCCGCTCCCCAGGGCCACGGTGCGTGACCGTGCTTCCTATGCCTCCTCATCTGACGTATTGGGCAGAGGTTGCTCGTGCGGTGGCAGGTGCGCATATGCAGACGGGTCGTACGCCCTTGCACTGCTTGCCGGGATGTGGCGTGCGAGGTGACTTGCAAAACGGTCCACTGAAGACCTGTTCTTCGCTTGCCGCCCGTCCATGATGACGACCTTCTTCGCTGAACGCCTCTTGTGTGTGCGTCCAGGCAGCCTGCCGAGGATGCAGATGTGGAAGACGATGAGAAGGACAAGCACAATGATGACCAGGAGCAGCAGCGGCAGCCTAGGAAAGACGTCGGTCATGAACGACATGTGGGGAAGGGCAGTAACTACACCATGCTGGTACGCCTCCAGCAAACAGTGACGAAGACGGCAGCAAATGGGAGAATACAGAATCCGACAAACGCCCTCAGTCTCTAATGTTTTGTGTCGTGGAGCACAGCTGGGAATAGAAAATTCGGTCGGCTAAAATATTCAAATTTGTCGACCATTCAACCCCTTTCTGTTTGGTGGCACGCACTGTGAGGGAGAACACTGGTTGATGACATTCTCAGGGGCTGGCCGGCCACCAACGGTTACCGTTGGCGTAAGGTTCGTGGAACCAGAACGTTCTAAACCCAAGACGTCCGTGTGGTGGCCGGTAGGTACTCCAATGGACCAGCCGACATAATTTTTTTCCAGCCGATGGCTGCCCTCGCCACTCCGATTATCACGGATCCTTGACCTCCGAGGGACCTGGAGAGGTCCCATTGGGGAAGGCCACCAAATGGCTGTAGCCGGCGGACGCCCCGAGGACTTCACTTTTTTTTCTCGTTTTCGTCCCTGAGGATAAATGGAACGATATTGTCCTCAGGGGTATTACGCGCCCGAGGAGTGTCTAACGAGCCCCTATTTTAACTTACCACTTCGAGGCTAGCGTTGGCCATTACCTAGTCTAGTAAATACACCTACTAGATCTGAGCTACACGAAGGGTTATGGGCTGCGCCTATCCCCTGTGTCCCAGTGTACATATCCCCTCAGGGTTGAACCTAATCCCTAGCGCGGATGGGATGTGTCATAGTTACCCCTATCAAGACCTACTAGGGGGGGCGAGCCGACTATCTCAGGTGTTGAACCCCAAGTGCGCTGCAGGGGCCGTGGGGAGCCGAATGGATGACGTGGGGAATCAAACCCACAACCTCCCCACTTATGTGCTCAACCAATTGAGCCAGGCCACTGGCCCAAGGGAGGGTTCATTTTCCTTTTCCCCCACAGGAAAATCAGATCACCATTGACCCCCGTTGCCAACATGTGGCGTCCTAATGAATGGACAGGAGCCATCTGCAACTTAAGGTCTCTATCCTAGAGGTGCTCTTGTCACTACCGGGACCGAACTCGTACTAAACGATGCTTGTAGCCAAAAGGGAAAAGAGAATGGGATCACCATCAGGCGAGTTCACAAAGGTAGGTGTTGTGCAAACGTTTTTTTTTAATACCAAAAACAGGTCCTTATGGCCCTGGCTCCATATCCATCTGGGGAGCGTCAGTCTGGCTCCTATTCTCCTAGCAACTCCAGCAAGTCAAAATTGTAAAATAACATAGTTAAAATTTCCGAAACAAAATGGCGTCCTTCCCTAGGGAAGTAATCGATGCTGTCCACTTGGGCCTCTCAACCATAATGGGGAGGAGCGTGCGCGTGTTTTCATTGTATTCATATTTGACTTGCCGGGGGAATAGGATCCGGACTGTTGCTCCCCAGAATGGCAGGAGCCAGAACCGAGAGGTTCTGTATTTCTTCAAAAAAAAAATAAAAAAAATCAAATAATTTGAAAAAAAAAAATAAAAAAAATCTGAAACGTAGGGTAAACATCAAGTGCAGAGTCTGCAGACTGTGCAGTAGTAGTTCCTGTTTGTGCCACACTATTGCTTACATTACGCTTGTGTGTGATGGAACCTGCAGGTATGAACCATGCTCTTCAACAGTGTGCATCACATGGGATAAAAGCCTTAGTGTTGGATTTGCGGCAGCCTTCCTTGTCAAGTTGTACAGGTATCTTTTGTCTAGTCCTCTCAGAAGAGTTGGTGGAAATTTGTGGTGTTTCTCTTTCTGCTGAAATTGTGTGAAGTTAGTTTCCAGTTCGTAAATACAATCAGGGATCCACTATGCCAGGCAGGACCAGAGGTTCATGAAGATGTGGCAAGGGAGATGGATGGGCACGTGCACGTGCACATGCAGACGGACATAGCAACTGGCATATGTTCGACAGAGAGACTAAGAAATTGAAAACAGTGCCAGTAGGTCATCAGGCTGGCAGGTGCAGCGACAGAAACAAAAACAGAGGTAGAGAGCTGTCTCTTATACACATCTAGATGTGTATAAGAGACAGGGCAGGACCAGAGGTTCATGAAGATGTGGCAAGGGAGATGGATGGGCACGTGCACGTGCACATGCAGACGGACATAGCAACTGGCATATGTTCGACAGAGAGACTAAGAAATTGAAAACAGTGCCAGTAGGTCATCAGGCTGGCAGGTGCAGCGACAGAAACAAAAACAGAGGTAGAGAGAGAGAGACGCGCACATCGCACCTGTGGCTATGGGGTTGGGCAGATCTGAAGATGTCTCCTGTCACTGCATAAATGTAGAGAGCCCTCTGGCTGGTGAGGCTTGACTGTCTTTTTATTTTCTTCCTTTCTGCTGTTTGATCTTCTGTTTTCTCTCATCTTCCGAGAGAGGGTTAACGGAGACCTAAAAAAAAAAGAAAAAACATAAAATTTGACCCCACAAACCCTAATTTCAGTTTTGGGGCTGTTGGTCAGGACCTGAAAATGGGGGCTCCCGTTAACCATTAGTGTCACTCGCCTGTCCCCGTACCCCCTCTCCCCCCCCCCCTGGCAGTTATCATGACTGTGCATTTTATTTGGGGGAAGATGGCAGTACTATTGAGGCGGGCACGGGGTGGAAGGGGGGGCTACACGGGTAGAGAGTTTTCGACTTCCCCCTCCAGCCTCCTTGACACGAGCAAAGATTTTTGCTTCCTAGCTTCAGCAAGAGGCAGAATCCTGACACTCAAGTAAAAACTACCATTCTCACATGAACAGAACACACGGTCATTATTGCTGTATCTCGATTATACACTGAAGTTGCCCCAAGTACAGCTGTAATATCGGTATGTTCTATTTGGGGAAAGACGGTAAGATGACATCAGGTTGGGACAGAAGTTGAAAAGGTGATGAATCTGTGATTTGTCCAAAAATCATTATGTGGTGGGGACAGGGAAGGAGCGAACAGGAGGTTATGTCATGCGTCAGGGGGGGGAAGAGAGAGAGAGAGAGAGAGAGAGAGAGAGAGAGAGAGAGAGAGAGAGAGA